TGCCCTTATAACCTCCCACGAACCACAGGTCACAGTGGTGTAGTGGTTCCGCTCCGATCCTAGAAATCTAGTATCTCTAACTCTCTCTCTCTGGCTGGGTCCGCCCTCCCCCAGTCTTTTTGTTCGATTCCCGTGTGTGTCTTATTTTCTTTTTCTTCTCCGCGAACACTCCTCCACATTAGAAAGGATATTTTTGCCTCGCGAGCGATTGATTTGGGGGAAAAAAATGAAATCAGCAAGCAGAAAATAAAACCGCGGTACAAGCCTAGCGTATCGAAACTTTCTTGTATTCGCTACTGGAATATGTCTTTGGCGATCATATCTCCTCTTCCTGGAAGTGTTCCTTACCATCCAGCGCAGACATTCAACGACTGCAGTCGCACCTCACCGTCTTACTGACTCTCCGCCTTGTCGGCCGCAATCTGCTTCTCATAGTCTGTAAACGTATCGATACCCTTGGGCACTCCATTCCACTGCAGTCCCTGCTCGTCCATCAGACGAGCTCGAATCTCCATGGAGCGCTTCCACGAGGGAAGTTCAATCATGCGCTCGTGCCAAGCGCGGACGTGCGGTGCGCCCTCCCAGATCTCGTCCCAAGGCTTCTCCATGAGCTCGCTCATGCGGCAATTGTACGGGACAAAGGCCATGTCGGCGTAGGTCATCTTGTTGCCGACCAGCCACTGCGCGTCCGCGGGTTTGCTCGCCAAGACCGTCTCGAGCACCCCAAGCACCCGCTTGATCTCGCCGTCGTACCGGTCCATGGCCGACGGGATTCTTTCCGGGTGCAGGTGTCTGAACCAGCCGCACTGGCCGTAGTAAGGGCCCTGGCCGCTCACCTGGAAGTGCAGCCACTGGTTGCACAGGTGTCGCTCCTTGAAGGTCTCGTAGCTGAGACGGCGGTCGACATCGTGCTGCTCAATCAGGTATTGGGAAATGGCGCCCGACTCCCAGAGCGTCAGGTCGGTGTTGGGGTCCTCAATGGCCGGCACACGACCGTTGGGGTTCACGTCGGTAAAAGGCTTCTCCTTGATTTGAGCAAAACTGAATGACTCTGTCTCGTAATTGACTCCGAGCTCTTCAAGAAGGAAGATGGTCTATGGAATGAAGAGATGAGTGGATTGTAGCTTGTAACATGGACGCATACAGTGTGGATAGCATACCTTCCAGGGGTTGGGGCCAGGTGCTAGAGCAGACATGGGTATTAGCGGGTGTCCAAAAAGAAGCCCACACTTCGAAGCTCAAACCGAAACATACGAGTTAGCCAGAGCTTGATTGGTTTTGGTGGATTGGTCGACATGTTGCAGGTACGGTATAATTGAGAAGAGGGTATACTGTGCAATGTTTTGCTCCCAGAAACACCTTGCGAGAGTCGCAGAGACTGTCGTGTAATCGGCCTTGGGACGGGCTTTTAAATGGCGAATGCAAGTCGGGATACGTCAGCTTCGTTGGATCGTTCTGATCTGATATCTCATGATGCACCTCTCTCCCTTGCATATGTTGGTTTGCCATACGTCTTTGAACTCGGGTATACAGCGGACACGGGTATGTGGCCGCCCTACAATTCATCCTTCTTGGTCATATCATGGCGCCTTGCAAGGATACAAACAAACACCAACGAACCAACTGTGCGCATGCATATTAGGCCTTGCCGCAATGGGGCAGGTAAGCGTGCCAAGCATAAGCGTCAAAGCTGTTGGCTCGCTGCTGTACTGACAAATGTTCTGGGGATGCGATGAAAGTTGAAATGCTCTTGAGATACACAATTCAAGCCATTGGCACCAGAAATAGCTCATCGGCATTTTCGCTTGGCATCGTGGTAATTCGAGGCATAAAAAGTATCACTGTTCATCCCTTCCAACCAACCAACTCTGCGCTATTACACCCCCCACGTTGTCGGCATTCAAGATCGGACTCGCCCTCTTCTTACATACGAAATGGCGAAATTAGCCAGTTTTCTTTCGAGTGCAAGCACACCCAAAGGCGCCGTTGCAACCATTGCCGTTGTCGCATTCACATCATGGGTCATCAATATTATACTCCAGGGTGTTTCGGTGCGGCGGAGAATTTTGAAATTGAAGGCTGATGGAATTGTAAGTGCAATTCGCAATCACAAAGCAGGGCCGCGCAAAAGGCTGACCTTGAGAACCAAATGCACATAGCCAATCATGGAGCCGTACTCAATATTCACAGGCCATCTTTCACTCATGAACAACCTAAGAAAGCAGTTCCCAGCAGATTCGCACATGACAGTGATGAACCAGACAATCGTCGCCAATTGGAAGAAATACTTTCCTAGCGCAACTTCGTGCCCTCCCGTCATCTACTTGGACCTGTGGCCTCTTGTGCCATTCACCTTTGCCATGGTAGTCTCTCCCGATCTGTGCGCGCAGCTGACCCAGGTGACGCCGCAGCCGAGACACCCCATGTTCAAGTGGGCGCAACAGCCATTGACTGGCGGGCTGGACATGTTGTCGCTGGACTGGCCGGGTCATAAACTGTGGCGGTCGAGGTTGAACCCGGGCTTCTCTTCCCGCAACTTGAGCAGTCACCTTCCGGCCTTGATTGAAGAAGTCGGTATTTTCTCGGACATCTTAAAGAGCCAGGCTGGTCCGGCGGGCGAATGGGGGCAAATGTTCACCATGTATGACAAGGCGATTGCTCTGACTTTTGATGTGATTGCAAGAATTGCCACGTAAGTGATACTGTAGGCCTCGGATGCACACGACTTTGCTGATAGACTCTCAGTGGCTTGCGCCTTCATGAACAGACTAAAGGTCCTGGTCCCCTTCTCGTTGCTCTCAGGAATTTGATAGCGTGCTTGAAACTTGACAGTCTCAAGAATAGGATTGAGCGAATGACTCCAAGCTTCAGACGCAAAGTGTTCCAGAACGGAGAAGTCATCCGAGAAATCCTCCAGCCTGAAGTGGAAGCACGAATTCAAGAGTCAAACAAGGCCGTCGACCGCAAAACCGTGGTAGATCTTGCGGTCAAGGAGATGAGTAACGAAGAGTCAACACAGAATGGCAACTTTTTTGAAGAAGTAATTGCCAACCTGAAGATATTCCTTTTTGCTGGCCACGAAACAACAGCTCAAACTCTGTACGAACTTCATCTGTCTTCTGCGACCTGGTAATGCTAACTCTTTGGACAGTTGCTGGATTTATTGGGAGATCAACAAATACCCAGACGTTATACAAAAGCTTTGCCAAGAGCACGAGCAAGTCTTTGGCAAAGATCCTACAGCCGCAAAGGACGCCCTTTTGCTTTCTCGTTACAAGGTCAACGAGCTCCCCTATACTACGGCCGTGATCAAGGAGACGTTGCGACTGCGCACCCCTGCGGGAACGCTGCGCAAATGTACACAAGGCTTCGCCTTGGTGGAGGACGGCGTGCAGTATCCCGCTCAGGACTGCGTCGTGCAGACCACTCCGGCCGCGCTGCATAGGCATCCCGATCTCTGGCCGAGACCAGACGACTTCATCCCCGAGAGATTCCTGGTGGCAGAAGACGACCCATTGCACCCAGTCAAGAATGCATTTCGGCCCTTTGAGCTCGGCACCACCCGTTGCATCGGCGAGGAGCTTGCCATGATGGAGATGAAGCTGGCCATGGTGTTCACGTTGAGGGAGCTCGATATGGACTTCAACTATGATCTTTGGGATAAAATTCAAGGACGACTAAGCGACAGCCAGGGACGGATGCAGAACGGCGAACGTGCTTACCGTGCTGGACAGGGCATGGGCACCATCAAGGACGATCTGCCCACTCGAGTGCGATTGAGATCAAAGTCATCTGCTTGATGAGTGTCAGTCCAGCAGATCTACTTCGTGCTTGTTGCCGAGGCGGACGCGAAGGTAGAGAGAGGTACGCGTGCAAATGTGGCTAGGAGGCTGATGATGCAAAAAGGTAGTTCAACGCTGGGTTGATCCATGGACATTCTCGACACCTGAGTGATTCGAACACTCGCTCCCGAAGGAACTGCCTAACAAGACTCGTAATAACAGAGTATAGCAGGGCAGCGCGTTAACCACTCCGCCAAAGTGCCATATTGTTCCAACTGTTTCTGTGGTTCCATGATGCTCGTTGCCGCTATCAAGCGACATATGTGGCTTCTTTAGCTAATGGGAACTACTGACCTGGCTAGTGTAGCGCACTTTTAAGCAGCGGATCCACCAAGATGGATAGCCCTATGCATAACATGGCACTAAAATATGTTGTGAATTATTCTGCGTCCTTTAACCGATTGAAGCTTTTTATCCATCTCTTTTTTCATTCCTACCATTCATTTAAAGTGTGCTATGATTGACGAGTTTTCAGTATTTCCCTGTTCACTTCCTATACATAATCAAAAACACCAATATCAACTTCTTGAGCAATGAGCGTGTACTTCCATTCGCTAAACCATGCTCTCGAGCTGCCATTGCCTCCACTTTTGGTGTTATAAACTCCAAGAATAACGCCTAACAACGACACATTAGCACTGCCGAGAGAACGAGAAGAAGAGAAAAGCACCAAGATATTGTTGACATTCTCTGACCTCCTACATTCGAACTCACCTGTATAACTTCCACTTCCACCCGTCAGATATGTGGCATTAACGTTCCCCATGATGAGCGGGTTGGACGATTCTCCAGACAAGGAAACGCCAAAGGTGTAGCTGTCGGGTGTCGACATCTCGATATTGAGGTAAATCTTCTGGTCACTCCATGATTCTGGCAGGTCTTGAACCACCGTGCTTGGTGATGTTGTGTTCGTTGCGCCGTCGCATGTCACTTGCAGTTGTGCAATCAGCTTCCCATTCTGGTCGAGAGTAATACCAAGATCGATATGCTGTAGTTGTGTGAGGAAAGCAGTCATTCCAGCCTCCTCGCCGGCCTTCAATGGCTCATACTCAATGCCGACGCTAAAGTTGAAAAGGCTGGCAGTCTGTCGGCGTCCAACAAAGCTTATAGGGCCGCTTGTGGTCAAGTTGCCCGTCAAGTTGGAAAACGAGGGCGCTATTTCTAGTGTCCCTAGATGACCATTGGACGATATGGCATACGCGTCAGCCTCTGGGAAGCGCCAGTATACCCAATGCGAAGGAATTGTAGTATCGTTGAAATGAATGTCATCCGGGGCATCAACATACGAACCAAGACCGGGAATAGACAAATTGGTAACATCAAGACCCCAGCCTTGCATCTTTCCGAAAATCGGATCCAGAACCGGCCAGTCATCACTCCAGCTCACAGCGTATAGAAGAGTCTCTCGTCCCATTGGATAGATTGCATAGTCGGGGCCGGACCGTTTACCCAGTGCGAAGCCCCACCAGTTGCCATTGCCGTCCTGGAATAAGTCGGCATGACCAGTGCCTTGGAAGAAGCGATCTGTCCCAGCAGCGGTGAGAATGGGATTCCCCGCGTAGCTCTCGTACGGCCCAGAGATATTCGTGGACCGCGCCACGGCCACTGCGTGATCTTGGCCAGTGCCGCCCTGTGCGATCAACAAGTAGTAGTAGTCGCCGCGTTGAAAGATGTGTGGGCCCTCTGGGTTTGATGCACCGGTTCCATTCCAGATGGCCACTGGCGCGGAAGACTCGCCATTCTGCAAGTCGATGGTCTGCTGATAGATGCGACCCCATCCAGTGTGCATATAGACGGTCCCATCTTGATGCCAGAACAGATCCGGGTCTATGGCACTCTTGCCATGCATGTCAATCTCGACGGGGTCACTCCAAGAGTCGTTGTCGAAAAGGAACGCAGCAGTAAAGACAAAGTTTTGAAAACTCCGGCTGCCTGAAGCTCCATTGTGGACAAACGTGCAAATGACGTGGAACGTCCCATTGCGTTGACGCAGGGTCGGCGCCCATATGCCCCCTTCGGAACTTGAAGTCAAGGTGGTTCCAAGAGCAGGAATCTGAGTTGCGCGGCTGACTACATGACTGGCCAGCTTCCAGTTCTTCAGGTCTTTGCTGGCGTATATGGGTATTCCAGGAAAGGTCAAGAATGACGATGATGCGCAAAAGAATGTCTTGTCCAGTTCTTCGACATATATACAGCTCGGATCAGGGTGGAATCCAGGGAGGATCGGATTGGTAAAAGTGATATTGGTGTCCCTTTGGCTGAACTCATGAGCCCCGCCGTAGACAACTTGGCAACAGGCTATCAAAAATTGAAAAATAAGTAGACCAAATAACGACATTTTGAAGCAACCTCCCAATCATTTGTGTTTTGAAAACGAAGCTGGGATATACATCTCATTCATCCCTATATAGTTCGCAAAGCTTTTTCTTGCGCCTCTAGCCAAAACCCCTGTTCCTTTCTTTAGAGAACTGCGTATTACACCAGACAGAGTTTGTCATCAGGTTGTTGCGGAAAAAGTGAAAAGCATCGTTGGTACATTGGAACGACAGTAATGGCCGGATAAATTGGGTTTCCTCCAAGTAGGCCCCTTCATACATTCTCTTGCATGGACGCACTGCCTTGAAAGCAGCCGGACTCAACTTTTTACCCCGCTCTTCGCATACAATTGTCCCGATTGAGTTTCACGCATAGGAAACAAAGGGTGTTTTTCCAATTTTGGGGCCTGGAGCAAAGTCACTTGCCGCATAGTCGAACCGTGAGATTACGTAAACAAGAAAGAAATAGAAAAAGAATGTACCTGAGGGCCGCGGTTGGAGACCATGGTTCTCAATGGATACAGCACTCCAAAGACATCTATTACGGGGATTTTGTCCTTGTAGCGAGTGTAAGTTGTAGTATTAGTGAATGTAAGCGACAGCTGGAACACTGAATATGGTCGCTCAAGAAGAATGAGGGGCAGTCGAGGACTTGATAAAAAAACAATAACGTCTTTATTTTAGGAAACTTAAAACATGGACTCATTTCTCAGATAGATAACATACACATATCATACAAATCATCAACCAAACACCCAACCATTACCCGGCACTCTATATGTTCTTGAAGCCACTAATGACCCGAACCACATTGGACTCTCTGGAGCTTCCACCACTCCACATGACCTTGTTGAAGCCGACATCAAGCATGCACTCCTCCCAGAACTGGGGCTCGGCCAGCACGTAGCCGCGTCCGTCCTGGAACAGCCACCAACCCTCGAGCAGACCAAAGACCATGTCGAACCAAGGCATGCGCGTGGTGAACTCGACCAGGGCGACAAAGCCCTCGGGCTTCAGCAGCTGATTGATGTTCTTCAGCGAGTTGCGCAAATCGCTAGTGGCGTGGATGCAGTTGGTGGCGAGAACAATGTCGTATTGGCCCAGGTGCTCGACCGGGGGTTGCCTCTCAATATCCAGAGTGGTGTACTTCATGCAATCATATTGGGCAAACTTTCTCTTGGCCGTCTGAACCAGAGAGGCCGAGATGTCGGTAAAGGTGTACTCAACGGGGATGCCCATCTGGACCAGGCGACCTACAACCCAGCGAGTGGTGGCGCCAGTGCCGGCTCCAACCTCGAGGATGCGGAAGCGCTTGCCAGTTCCGGCAACGGACGTCATGGCAGTGCTCAGAGTGGACTCGAGGAATTGGGTTAGGAGCTGCGACATGACGACGTACATGGGGCTGGTGCTGTAGACGTCCTCAAGAATTTGCCTGTTTGCCTTGGAACCAAAGAGCACGGCCAGAGGGTCCTTGGCACCAGTGAGAAGCTGAGCCATTTCGGAGCCGGTAATGTTCAGCAGCATGTGCTCCTTGGTGTGTTGAGGGAACTCGCGAAGAATGTCTTCAAAGAGCATGCTGGATCGTGTAGGGTCAACGGGCTTCTCCGTTCGGATAAGGCAGACGCGATCAGAGACGGCGATACCTCCGTCCACCAAGACGCCCTTGAGAACCTCACGCATATGATGGTGCTTGTGTGGGATGTTGAGTTCGGGAATTTCAGAGCCAGGTCGCATGGTAGCCAAGTTGATACCGAGGTCAGCGTATGCTTCCACAACGTATGCCAGAACCAGGTGGCAGTTCTTGCCGTAAACGTTCTCGTAGAAACCAGCAAACTCGTTCTTGTGTGCGAGCTTTTCAAAATCCATCATGGCCCTTCTGAATGTGTTGGTAGCATGACCCAAGGTGCTGCCAGAGTAGGCAGTATTGTTATCGAAATGTGAAAAGCTGTCCCTGGAATTGGTAAAGCTCTTCCGAGAAAGATTGCTCTTGGGTCGCTGGAGTGCATGACCGTTTACCTTGGGTGTGGCGCTCGGGAGGAAGGCAGTGCTACCAGAAGACGACTTGGAGATAGCCGAGCGAGGCGGGGGTATTGTCTCGTTGGTTAAGTTTTTGTAGATCATCTCAGCGAGTTGACCGACTTCAGTCATCCTACTAAAAGATCCAATGTCAACAGTGACATTGAACTTGGCCTTGACGTCATCAAGGAACTCAATGGCAAGTAGCGAGTCCAAGGCCAGGTCATTCAAGTTGGTGTTGATGCGAATGTCGCTGGGGGCAAAGTCGGAAGCATGGTTACACAGGATCTCAGCCAGGTCACGTAGAATGTGCTCGATAGTGTGGTGGTGTCTTGTAGTGTTGACCGCGGAACGACTGGAATGCAGAGGAGCTTCGACAAAGTCGGCGCGAGAGGTTGTGATTCGTGGCAGAGAGTGCTTGACGCTCAGTGTAGAGGTCGGCGCAGTGGTCACACCAATATCGCGGTACTGAATGTATTCACAAAGTTCGTGCACCGTCTGCACCTTTTGCAGCTCGGACCGAGGAATGGTGAAGCCGAAAGTCTTCTCGGCCTCAGTCACGACCTCAGTCCACATCAGGGAGTCGACACCTAGTTCCTCAAGCGAAGCATCTGCACGGAAGAGCTCAACAGGGACATCAGCAACCTTTTGGAGGATCTCGCTAAGCTTTTCCTCAACCCAAGCCCTCTCCAATCGAGATTCGCGTAGGTTGCAGGAATCGCTCGCCACAATGCTGGGAGCAACATGAGATGTTCGTTCAACCAAATTGGTTGTGGACTCAGCCTGACGCACAACAGGAATATGGGCTTGCGAGTGGTCATAAGCGTGAGCAAGACCTCTGGTCAGCGAGGAAATAGACACCATGCGGAAGC